ACGTCATCAGATTTAACAGATCACATCTATTGTAATGTGAAAGCAGTTCCAAAAGCTTGTAATGTCTAGCAATCCATCTCTCTTGGTCTTTGACCATCACAATGGGACTTACCACCAAGAGGATGCTGTGTAACTAAGCTATCGGCCGTTATAGCTTAGTTACACAGCAACCTCATGGTGGTAAGTCTCATTTTGGTGGTCAAAGGTTTGAGGAGATGGAATGCTCGGCATTACAAGCTTATGGAGTTGCTTACGCATAAAAAGAGATGTTAACTGTAGAATCTGATGACGTAGCAGGTTGAATCTGAATTTACGCGGTGAAGTGTCGTAGCCGGCTCCTTCGCCTCCGCTGCTCCTCTCTCAGCAGGCGCCTCCTCTCCGCTGCAGTCGTCTCCTCTGCTCCTCTGGTGTAGCACACGGGAGGGAGGCAGCATCATTTTCTCCCGCTGCTGCTCATCTGCTCCTCTGCAGTAGCACACAGGAAGGGTGGCCTTCTCTTCTGCTGACTCTGCTGCTGCCACCGCTGGTACCACTGCTTGCATTCCCTTCTGCTGCTACCACTGCTTGCATTCCCTTCTGCTGCCACTACTGGTACCACTGCTTGCATTCCCTTCTGCTGCCACTGCTGGTACCACTGTTTGCATTCCCTTCTGCTGCCACTGCTGGTACCACTGTTTGCATTCCCTTCTGCTGCCACTGCTGGTACCACTGTTTGCATTCCCTTCTGCTGCCACTGCTGGTACCACTGTTTGCATTCCCTTCTGCTGCCACTGCTGGTACCACTGCTTGCATTCCCTTCTGCTGCCACTGCTGGTACCACCGCTGGTCCCACTGCGGGCCTCCCTTCTGCTACCACTGCTGCTGCCACCGCTGGTCCCACTGCGGGCCTCCCTTCTGCTACCACTGCTGCTGCCACCGCTGGTCCCACTGCGGGCCTCCCTTCTGCTACCACTGCTGCTGCCACCGCTGGTCCCACTGCGGGCCTCCCTTCTGCTACCACTGCTGCTGCCACCGCTGGTCCCACTGCGGGCCTCCCTTCTGCTACCACTGCTGCTGCCACCGCTGGTCCCACTGCGGGCCTCCCTTCTGCTACCACTGCTGCTGCCACCGCTGGTCCCACTGCGGGCCTCCCTTCTGCTCGCTGTCCGATCACTTCCAGCACCAGCAGCAGCACCAGCTCGCAGCTGGCTAGTGCCTGTGTGCCTTCTCTCCTCCGTGCCTTCTCTCCTCCGTGCGGCAAGCAGCGATGGGGGAAATTGCGGCTGTGTGGTTCTCTGCTCCTCTGCTCCTTTGGCCTTCTCCCATCCGTGCCTTCTCTCCTCCGTGCTTCTGCTCCATGTCTCTCCAACGCTCCATGTCTCTCCAACGCTCCATGTCTCTCCAACGCTCCATGTCTCTCCAACGCTCCATGTCTCTCCAACGCTCCATGTCTCTCCAACGCTCCATGTCTCTCCAACGCTCCATGTCTCTCCAACGCTCCATGTCTCTCCAACGCTCCATGTCTCTCCAACGCTCCATGTCTCTCCAACGCTCCATGTCTCTCCAACGCTCCATGTCTCTCCAACGCTCCATGTCTCTCCAACGCTCCATGTCTCTCCAACGCTCCATGTCTCTCCAACGCTCCATGTCTCTCCAACGCTCCATCTCCTTTGCCTCTCTTCCTCCTCCTCTGCTTCATCTCCTCCTCCTCTGCTTCATCTCCTCCTCCTCTGCTTCATCTCCTCCTCCTCTGCTTCATCTCTTCCTCCTCTGCTTCATATCTGCTCAATCTGCATCGTCTGCTTCATCTGCATCATCACTTCACTTCACAGCACCAGCACCAGCAGCAGCTCACAGGCGGGAGGTAGGAGCGAGGGAGATAGCACCTGGCCTTCTCTTCTGCTCCCAGCAGCTGCCAGTCGTCTCCTCTGCTCTTCTGCAGTAGCACACGGGAGTGAGGCAGCATCGCCTGCTCCCACAGCTGCTGCCACCGCTGGTGCCACTCATGGCCTTCTCTTCTGCTGCTGATTCTCCTTTTGTTGCTGGCCATCTCCTTTGCTCCTCCACCCCCCTTCACCTCTCCTCCTATCACATCACACCACCACCAGCAGTACACTGGAGGGAGGTAAGAGCGAGGGAGGTAGCACCTGTGGCTGCTGCAGTTTTCTGGTACTGCTGACGGTCCCACTGCTGCCGCTGCTGCTGCCAAAACAGCAGCACCTCTCCACCTCCAACGAAGCAGCTGCCATCCCATCACTTTGTAGCACCTGTAGCTGCTGCTGTCTTCTGGTATTGCTGATGGTACGGTCCCACTGCTGCCGCTGCTGCTGCTAACACAGCAGCACCTCTCCACCTTCACCGAAGCAGCTGCCATCCCATCACCTTGTAGCACCTGTAGCTGCTGCCCCACTGCAGGCACACCCACTCCAATGCAGCAGCTGCCGCCCCGTCACTCCATAGCACCAGCAGCAGCACAGGGGATAGAGTGGGAGCGAATGAGGTAGCGGCTGCACTCCCATCACATTGTAGCACCAGCAGCAGCACAGGCGAGAGAGGCGGGAGCGAGGGAGGTAGCACAAGGCAGCAGCAGGTGGTAACGGCTTGAGCTTGCTCGTGGCGATACTGGCGCCTTCTCTCCTCCATTCGGCCAGCAGCGGTGGGGGCTAGTGCAGCTGATGGCGTTGACTTGGCTTGCACGCGCTTGACTGGCTTGCAGCAGGTAGTAACAGCTTGAGCTTGCTCGTGGCCAGCAGCGGTGGGGGCCAGTGCTGCTGTGCTATCCTCTCCTCCCCTCCGCCAACTCCTCTGCTCCTCTGCCCCTCAACTCTGATTCCCCCTCACTACTGCTGCCCCTTTCACTCTGCTCCCCCACCACTCTGCAACAGGTGTTCTCCTGCTTCCATCTGCTTCATCCCCTTCACAGCTGCTTCATCCCCTTCACAGCTGCTTCATTGGCAGCAAAAGGTAGCTAAAGGTAGGTACAGATCGCTGGCATCGCTGATGCTGCTCCCTCGCCTCTGCGCCCGCTTGTAGCAGCCGCCTCCTCTCCTCTGCTGCTCCCTCGCCTCTGCGCCCTTCTGTGAAATGGGAGGAGAATGAGTCAGGAACGATGAGTGCAGTGCAAGGCAACGATTGCATCCAGTGCCATGAAGGAACTCAGAGCAAATGCAAAACCAAGGCAACGACATTCGACCAAACAAAACAACTTAAGTGAAAAAGAAAATCACCATCGGCAGCACCACCGTGCTCCTTTGCTCTTTGCTCTTCAGTGCAGCACCGCTCCCCCTCCACTGCAGCACCACTCCCCCTCCACTGCAGCACCACTCCCCCTCCACTGCTGCTGCCACTGCTGGTGTCACTGCTGGCCTTCTCATTCTGCTCGCACTGCTGCTGCCACCGGTAGTGTCGCCGCATGCCTCTCCCCTACTCCCACCGCTGGTGTCACTGCGGGTGCCACCTCCAATGCAGCAGCAGCACCACCTCGCAACGCAGCAGCAGCACCAATCCCCTTCCAGCAGCAGCGCCACTCCACCACTTCACAGCACCAGCAGCAGCACAAAGAGCAGCATTGGAGCGCCATTCCAATGCGAGGGAGGGAGGTAGGAGCGAGGCAACACAAGGCAGCTAAAGATAGGTACAGCTCGCACCTTGCTGCTGCCAACTATGGCCCCTTCTCTGCTCCTCTGCTCTATTCACCTGCTCATCACCTCTCCTGCAGTGGCCTTCTCTTCTGCACACGGGAGGGAGGCAGCATCATTTTCTCCCACTGCTGCTCCTCTGCTCCTCTGCAGTAGCACCCGGAAAGGGTGGCCTTCTCTTCTGCTGACACTGCTGCTGCCACTGCTGCTACCACTGTTTGCATTCCCTTCTGCTGCCTCGGCTGCTGAAACCAATATGTCACTGCGGGCCTCTCTTCTGCTCGCTGTCCCATCACTTCACAGCACCATCAGCAACACGCAGGAGGGAGGGAGGAGCGAGGAAGGGAGCAGCTGCCGTCCCATCACTTCACAGCACCAGCAGCAGCACGCGGGAGGGAGGTAGGAGCGAGGAAGGTAGCAGCTACCGTCCCATCACTTCACAGCACCAGCAGCAACACGCGGGAGGGAGGTAGGAGCGAGGAAGGTAGCAGCTGCCGTCCCATCACTTCACAGCAGCAGCAGCAGCACGCGGGAGGGAGGTAGGAGCGAGGAAGGTAGCAGCTGCCGTCCCATCACTTCACAGCACCAGCAGCAGCACGCAGGAGGGAGGTAGGAGCGAGGAAGGTAACAGCTGCCGTCCCATCACTTCACAGCACCAGCAGCAGCACGCGGGAGGCAGTAACAACTCGCAGCTTGCTCCTCCGTGCCTGTGTACCTTCTCCCCTCCGTGCCTTCTCTCCTCTGTGCGGCCAGCAGCGTTGGGGGGAAGCGCAGCTGTGTGGTTCTCTGCTCCTCTGCTCCTTTGGCCTTCCCCCCTCCGTGCATTCTGCTCCGTGCCCGCTGCTCCATGTCTCTCCAACGCTCCATCTCCCCTTCCTCTTCTTCATCTCCTTTGCCTCTCCTTCCTCTCCTCTGCTGCTCCGTCTCCTCTGCTTCGCCGTCTCCTCTGGTGCTTCTTCGCTCCATCGCTCCTTTGCTCCTTGTCTCCTCCTCTGCTGCTCCTCAGCTGAGCCAACTCCTCTGCTTCTCCACCTCCTCTGCTCCACCTCTGCTCCATATCCTGCGGAATGGGAAAAGAATGTCTGTGAGCTCATTGCACCAATTGCACCTAGTGCCAAGAAGTGATTGAGAACAAATGCGTAGCCAAGAAGGCGACGACCATTGATTGAGAGAGCAGGAAAGGAGATCCTCACCGGCAGTGGCAGGGGATTCTCCTTTGCCTCCTCTGCTCCTTTGCCTCTGATGTCGCTGCTCCGTCCCCTCCGATGCATCTCCTGCAGAATGCGAAGGAAGGAAAAGCCTATGAGCACCCAGTGATTGCACCCAGTGCCAACAAGTGATTCAAAATCGACGCCAAGCGAACAACGAGACAACCGTCCTCACCGTGGCAACGGCACAGAATCCGCCTTCACCTTGCCTCCTCTCCCCGGCTGCTCCTTGCCTCCTTCGCCTCCTCTACTCCTTCGCCTCCTCTTCTCCTTCACCTCCTGTTCTCCTTCGCCTCCTTTTCTCCTCGCCTCCTCTCCCTGGCTGCTCCTCTGCTTCTCCGTCCCCTCCGATGCATCTCCTGCGGAAAGGGAAAGAAGAAAGAGTCTATAAGCACCCAGCGATTGCACCCAGAGCCAAAAACTGATTCGGAATCGATGCCAAGCGAACAGAGCAACGACAATACGGAGAGCAGGAAAGAAGATGCTCACAGGCATTGCCAGAGAATCCCCCCTCCTTCCCCTCTGCTCCTCGCTCCTTCGTCTCCTGTGCTCCCTCGGCCCCTCTGCTCCGTCACTCCACCGCTGCTTCCATCTCCTCTGCTCCCATCTCCTCTGCTCCCCCTCTGCTCCTCTCCTCTCTCCTCTCCTCCTCCTCTCCTCCTTCACTCCTCCCCCACTGCTCCCTCTCTGCTCCTCCGCTCTTCCTGCTCTGCTAAATCAGACAAACGAGGAACATTAGTACGAGTGGGAAAACAACATGCAGGAATGGAAGGAGACGACGTACCGAGGGGGGGTTGAGCCTTCGTGTCTTGGCCCTGTCTGAAACACGGAGCAGCAAACAAGGACGTTAGTACGAGTGGGAAAACAACATGCAGGAATGGAAGGAGACGACGTACCGAGGGGGGGTTGAGCCTTCGTGTCTTGGCCCTGTCTGAAACACGGAGCAGCAAACAAGGACGTTAGTACGAGTGGGAAAACAACATGCAGGAATGGAAGGAGACGACGTACCGAGGGGGGGTTGAGCCTTCGTGTCTTGGCCCTGTCTGAAACACGGAGCAGCAAACAAGGACGTTAGTACGAGTGGGAAAACAACATGCAGGAATGGAAGGAGACGACGTACCGAGGGGGGGTTGAGCCTTCGTGTCTTGGCCCTGTCTGAAACACGGAGCAGCAAACAAGGACGTTAGTACGCGTGGGAAAACAACATGCAGGAACGGAAGGAGACGACGTACCGAGGGGGGGTTGAGCCTTCGTGTCTTGGCCCTGTCTGAAACACGGATCAGCAAACAAGGACGTCAGCACGAGTGGGAAAACAACATGCAGGAATGGAAGGAGACGACGTACCGAGGGGAGGTCGAGGCTTGATGTCGTGCCGGCAGCTAGAACAGGAATACACACACCATACAAGATTAGGCATTAGAAGAAACAAGAAAGCGAGAAATAGAATGTAAAAGACTGCACCTTACAACAGGTCCTAGCTGCTGCGTCCCCCTGTTGTTCCCGCCGTGGAGTTGCCTCCCCCGTTCTTGCTGATCCTAGAGAAGGGGCGGCACAAAACTTATCCTTTGCCCCCCAGGGGGCAAAGTAGGCACCTCAGTTGAAGCTGCTCCTTCCAGCTGCTGCCCCACCAGCAGTTGCTTCGCTCTAAGTGTTGCCCCGGTTCTTGCTGCACCTAGGAGAGGGGCGACACAAAACTCATCCTTCTCCTGCCGGCTGAGGAAGGAAACGCCTCACTTGAAGCTGCTCCTCCTCTTGTGTTGATCCTTTGCCCCCCAGGGGGTCAAAGCGCCTCACTTGAAGGCGCCGCTCCACCTCCCGCTGCTCCTCTCGTGTTGATCCTTTGCCCCCCAGGGGGTCAAAGCGCCTCACTTGAAGGCGCCGCTCCACCTCCCGCTGCTCCTCTTGTGTTGATCCTTTGCCCCCCAGGGGGTCAAAGCGCCTCACTTGAAGGCGCCGCTCCACCTCCCGCTGCTCCTCTCGTGTTGATCCTTTGCCCCCCAGGGGGTCAAAGCGCCTCACTTGAAGGCGCCGCTCCACCTCCCGCTGCTCCTCTTGTGTTGATCCTTTGCCCCCCAGGGGGTCAAAGCGCCTCACTTGAAGTGCCCAACAAGAGAAAGCAAGAACAACAACCGCAGCCCACAACAAGTGTGAGTTTTGAGACGTCTCTCAAAACTCACCATTTGCAGAGTTTTGAGCAGCAACTGCTCCCTCTGCTAGCCTTCGCTGCTAGCATCTGCTCCCACTGCTAGCCTTCCCTACTGCTGCCACCGCTTGTGTCACTGCTGGTCTTCTCTTCTGCTGCCAACCACTGCTGCTGTCAGCTGTAGTGTCATTGCGGGCCTCTCTCCTTCTTCAACCGCTGCTGCCACCGCTGGTGTCACTGCTGGTCTTCTCTTCTGCTGCCAGCCACTGCTGCTGTCAGCTGTAGTGTCATTGCGGACCTCTCTCCTTCTCCCACCGCTGCTGCCACCGCTGGTGTCACTGCTGGTCTTCTCTTCTGCTGCCAGCCACTGCTGCTGTCAGCTGTAGTGTCATTGCGGACCTCTCTCCTTCTCCCACCGCTGCTGCCACCGCTGGTGTCACTGCTGGTCTTCTCTTCTGCTGCCAGCCACTGCTGCTGTCAGCTGTAGTGTCATTGCGGACCTCTCTCCTCCCACCGCTGCTGCCACCGCTGGTGCCACCGCTGGTGTCGCTGCTGCTGGTATCGTCATCCCATCACTTCACAGCTTGCTCCTGCTCACTTCACTTCTCCCCTCCGTGCCTTCTCCCCTCCGTGCCTTCTCTCCTCCATGCAGCCAGCAGCATTGAGGGGAAGCGCAGCTATGCTGGTCTCTGCCCTTCTGCTCCTCTGCTCCTCTTCTCAGCTGTTCCACTCCGCTGCTCTCCTCCCTTCACTGATGCCACTGCTTTGCTGCTGCTGCCACTGCTTTGCTGCCGCTGCCGCTCTCCTCCTGCTGCCACTGCTGCTGCCGCTGCCACTGCTTTGCTCTCCTACTGATGCCACTGCCACCGCTGCCGATGCTTCTCTTGTCGCTGCTGCTCCGTCTTCCCATCCACGCCTAAACGTTCCATGTCCCTGCACAGCGACCAGAGGGTTGCAATCCCACAAGGAAGGTCAAACAGAGTGGGGAATACGAGTCGACAGAAGAGGAATGGAAGCAGGAAAAACGACAGCAGAAAAACGGCAGAGAACACGAAAGCCATAACACGAAGGCAGAGCAAATGCGAATGAGGAGGGACTAGGGGAGGAAAATGCTTCGCTTACTTACTTTCTGCTCCAGTTGCTCCTGCTCCAGTGGCCTCCAACGCAGCAGCACCTCTCCGCCTCCAACGCTGCTGCTCCGTCTTTCCACCCACTCCTTTACTTTCCCTGCACTGCGACCAGCGAGTTGCGAAATGCCACATGGGAGGTTTATCAGAGAAGAGGGTACGATTTGACAGAGAATTGGAGAGGAACAAATGCAAGGAACGAATGCAAGGAACGAATGCAAGGAGGAAAGAAGGCAGCAAAAGAACAAGAAAGAACACGAAACGAAAGCAATAGGAGAGGGGATGGGGGAGAGAAGAAAGGAACAGAGGTGTTCTGTTATGTCTCCAATTTCTCACTTGTTTCTCCAGTCAATGATGCTCCTATTATTGCTGCTCAAGTTGCCTCGCCAGCCACTGCAGCTGCTGCCGCTTTCCTCCTGCTGCCACTGCGACCTCTGCCGATGCCTCTCCTGTCGCTGCTGCCACTGCCACTCTACTCCTGCAGAAGATGCTGCTTCTGTCTCTGCTGCTCCGTCTTTTCCACCCATGCCTTAATGTTGCCTGCACAGCGACCAGAGATTCACAATCCCACAGGGAAGGTTAATAAGAGTACAGGTAATTACAGACAAAGTTGACAGATTGTAAAGTAACAAATGCATACAGGAGAAAAGGCACCGTAAAAAAGATTAAGAGCACGAAAGCCATAAACAATAATGAAGGCAGAGGAACGCGAACGAGGAGGGAGATGGGAGAGAAGAAAGGAACGGGGGTGATTAGTCACGACTCCAGTTACTTACTTGTTTACCAGTCGCTTCCGCTCTTGTTGCTACTGAAGCTCCAGTCGCTGCTGCACCATGCAGCGCCACCACTTCAATGCGGCAGTCTACTGCCATAGCAGTTGCGTGCGCTCCCCTTGTCTCCTTGCTCTTGGACTGCCATAGCGCCATGGACTGCCATAGCGCCATGAACTGCCATAGCGCCATGGACTGCCATAGCGCCATGGACTGCCATAGCGCCATGGACGGCCATAGCGCCATGGACTGCCATAACGCCATGGACTGCCATAGCGCCATGGACTGCCATAGCGCCATGGACTGCCATAGCGCCATGGACTGCCATAGCGCCATGGACTGCCATAGCGCCATGGACGGCCATAGCGCCATGGACTGCCATAGCGCCATGGACTGCCATAGCGCCATGGACTGCCATAGCGCCATGGACTGCCATAGCGCCATGGACGGCCATAGCGCCATGGACTGCCATAGCGCCATGGACTGCCATAGCGCCATGGACTGCCATAGCGCCATGGACGGCCATAGCGCCATGGACGGCCATAGCGCCATAAACTGCCATAGCGCCATGGACGGCCATAGCGCCATGGACTGCCATAGCGCCATGGACTGCCATAGCGCCATGGACTGCCATAGCGCCATGGACTGCCATAGCGCCATGGACTGCCATAGCGCCATGGACTGCCATAGCGCCATGGACTGCCATAGCGCCATGGACTGCCATAGCGCCATGGACTGCCATAGCGCCATGGACTGCCATAGCGCCATGGACTGCCATAGCGCCATGGACGGCCATAGCGCCATGGACTGCCATAGCGCCATGGACTGCCATAGCGCCATGGACGGCCATAGCGCCATGGACTGCCATAGCGCCATGGACTGCCATAGTGCTGCCTTAGCGTTGCCTCCCTGCACAGAGATCAGAGAGTCACAGGGAAGGATAATCAGAGAAGATAATCAGAGAGTCGACAGAGCAGATTGACAGAGTGACGAAGACTGAATGGAAGGAGGAAAAAGGACAGCGGAAAAACGACAAAGAAAACGAATGCCTTAAATCCACTGAAGTGAGTGGAAAACGCAAATGGAGGGCTCCAGTTACTTACTTGCTTCACAAGTTGCTGGTTCTCCAGTTGCTGCTTTTCCACTCGCCGCTTCTCCAACACAGCAGCACCGCCTCCAACACAGCAGCACCGCCCCAACACAGCAGCACCGCCTCCAACACATCAGCACCGCCTCCAACACATCAGCACCGCCTCCACCACATCAGCACCGCCTCCAACACAGCAGCACCGCCTCCAACACATCAGCACCGCCTCCAACACATCAGCACCGCCTCCACCACATCAGCACCGCCTCCACCACAGCAGCACCGCCTCCAACACATCAGCACCGCCTCCACCACATCAGCACCGCCTCCACCACAGCAGCACCGCCTCCACCACAGCAGCACCGCCTCCACCGCGTCTCTCCATCGCAGCAGCACCCTTCCACCTCCAACGCCGCACCAACGCCGCACCAGCGCCAGTCAATGTCGTGGACGCAGCACCGCTTTCATGAACTTAGCCGGTGGTGAACTTAGCAGTCAGCCATCTCCTGCACGGAGCGCCAGTCAATGTCGTGCTTCCATGGACGCAGCTGCACCGCTCCTGCTCTTGGCGTTGGTTCGTTCGCTCCTGCACCTCCTCCATGCTCCATGATGCTTAAGACGCGTCCGCACCTCCAGCTCCAGCAGTCAGGAAACCAGCGATCATGATGCAATCTCTTCCGGTCTTGGCGAGAGGCAGAGCCTGGCAGACTGGGAAACGGCAGTGCATGGACGGACGGAGACAGTTGAAAGTCGCAGCAAGTGAGATACGCCATGATAGGAACGGAAACGGAAAATACGCCAGATTGAATCAAACGAAACGCGATCGCCAAGAGAGCAGCGAGAAAGCGATTATGAGAATAGATATCGTGAATCGGAAATTATCCGTCATGAATCGTTGCCTAAAAGCCAGCGTTTGGGGTTTGGACGAGAACTCACCACAACCAACGAGCTCCTCCGCAGTAGAGACGCATTCGCGACCACGAAAACGGTGCCTTCGATAGCTCCCGCATCGTCAAATTCGCAAGATCCGCAATTTCGCAGGGACGTCGCGAGCGTCGCACGGTCGTCGCGAGTGTCGTACGGTCGTCGTACGGTCCCAGTGGTCCCCGCGAGCCACTCCGCCGTCGTGAGCGCATCGACGAGCGGATCCTCCGCCGTCCTACCATCACGAAAAGCATCGGCGTCGAATTCACGAAGAGCTTGCCGGGAGCTATCCAGCCGTCGAGATCTCTTCCATCAACCTTCCATGCATTAGCGAGGTTCGCGAGCGTCAACGAATTTCGCGAACTTTACCGCCGCCGCCTCACGAAGCTGCTCCTCCGCAGTAACTTTATTCGTCACCGTCAGACGTCTTCGGTGGTCAGCTTCGTTAACGTCGCAAGTGTCTACGTCTTTAGCAGGCGTCGAAGTCGGACGTTAGAAGTGGTTGAAAGCGGTGCTCGACATCAGCGTATTCTGCGTCGGACGTTAGTAGGGGTTGAAAGCGGTGCTCGACATCAGCGTATTCTGCGTCGGACGATAGTAGCGGTCAAAAGCGGTGCTCGACATCAGCGTAATCTGGGTCGGACGTTAGTAGCGGTTGAAAGCGGTACTCGACATCAGCGTATTTTGCGTCGTCGCCTTTGTTACCATCGCAGGCGTCTCGGAAGCGGCTGTGCATGCTATGCACACTGAATGATGCTGTATGCTAAATGAAACTCCTCGTTCCGTCGAAGCGCCGCGGGCGAGCAATGCTGAATCGTATCGTCCTACGAGGAACCCTAACCACGCGAACGGCGTCGTGGGACGAAGCATGCACGACGGGAAGCGTCATCTTGGAAGGAATGTTCAGGAACGAGCGTGACGCGAACACATATTTCATGAAAGAGCGGATCTAGAAAGGAAGTGATGGGATCTCATTCGATGAGTCCTAGCTTCTAGATTCTATGGAAGTAACGAGTTGATAGTCGTTGAACAGGAACGAGACGATGATTCTAGCAGCCGGTCGTCCAGAAAACGATCTGACGGTCGTCCAGAAAACGATCTGACGGTCCAGTTAGGAGTGTAGAGCGTTCTGATCTGAAACCTAAGCTTAGTCTCAAGCGATTGCAATTTTTACGCACGTGTTATTACTGAAGAAGCGGCCATGAACGGACGGACCGAGTTAGCAAGCAAGCGCCTGATAGAACTCGCGGAGCAGGACTAAGCGAGAGGGATTGAATGGAAGAGAATGCGAGGCTAGTGGAAGTGAGGTGAGTCGTCGTGCAGCAGATTCACTCACAGGGCGGAAGGAAAGCCCAAGCGGAGGTGTACTCGTCCATGGTGACCCTGATCCAAGTTCGGTAATTCGGTTAAGTTCGTTTTCGCACGTTCCTACGCGGTACCACGCGAAAGAGGTTCGGTCTATCAAGTCTAACTGAATGCGATGCCCTAGTCTAAGCGGAGGTGAGGGGAGGAGGGGGGTGGAGAGCCGAAGGAAAGGTCGTGAGCGAAGGGAAGCAAGGAGCCGAGTCGCCATGCAGCCGAGAAAGTCCCCTCTCCAGCACAACAACCCCAAGGCGGGAGACGCCGCTGCTGCAGAGTCTGGTTGCGGGACATTTGCGCTGACGAGGCGGGAAGCCTCGGAAAGTTGGCGGAGGAGGTGCGCTGAACGGCGGGGAGCTGCGAGGGCTGTCAGACGAGTGGATTAGGCTTTCGCCAGAGTTCGATAGCTACCACACACCAAACTGCACATTATGTTACCGTGTCTTCGCGAAGGAGCTTCTCCTGACACCGACGGCGTTGGATGGGGTGGTGATGGTGAGGAGAGGTTTGTTGACAGGCAGCAACACTATTGGCACGCAGCTTGTGCTAGTGTCAGACCACAATTTCAAATTTCAGTTGACCGTCACGTCAACCATGCGGAGCGGAAAGTCCATTCCAGCCGTCTTGTCCCCTCCAGCGCAGAACCCCCGTAGTATCGGAGCCGATATATATACATGTTGCCATTCACATGTTAATTCAAAGCATGCTTACGTCTTTATCGATTACACATACCATTGACAATTTTTTTTTAGTCTCAGGTATTGCCCTCCCGAGGAAAATCAGCATCTTGCATTACCGTTATATCCCGCAAAGGGGTGGCCTCAAGAGAAACACGTTTGAATTTGGGAGCAATTGACAATCAGGGTGCAATGCTGGAGCCCTGATTGCCCCAGCAGATGAAAGAATCAACCGTCAAAATCCACTATATCACCCTGCTTTAGCAGGAAAACATGACTAGTCTCAGCACAACCTAGACACAAAAAGCACTAGGATATTTCTGAAGTGTTGAACCATGCGGGACTGAGGTAGTCTCAAGAGTGGTTAGCAACGGAATGCTTGGAATAGAAACGAATGGGGTACAAATAAGCAACCCTAGAAACTGTACCCCCTAGAGTGCAACTCACTACAGCCTATCATATCAATGTTCAACATTTGACACACCCCCATAGGCTAAGTGAGGGGCATCAAAGCAAGCAAGGTGAACAAACGGTCACAAGACCAGTCAAAGCAAGAACCAAGACAAGCTCAGGGTGGATCTCAAGGACACCACACAAATTCCGAGCGCAAGCAAGCGGCCACAAGGCCAGTTCAAGAGTTCACTAGGATATAAATACAAGGCACAACAAGCAGAGCAAGCAACAAGACTATAGCAACCGAGGGCCTACCTCAACTAGCCCCAACTGCACACCGAACCTGTGGTGGTCACCAAGCGCCAAGGCCTTGGTGAAGACGTCTGCAGTGTTGGCCTCTGAGGCCACAAAGTCCAGGCGTGCCTGACCGCGTCGCTGCAGCTCTCGCAGGAGGAAGTACCTCACGTCAATATGCTTCACTCTGCTCTCCAGTCGAGGCTCTCGACACAGGAGGATCATGACCTTGTTGTCAGCGTACAAGGTCGGTGCAGAGCGAGGCCGCTCACCAAGGTCGGTGAGCAAGAAGGTCAACCAGCGAAGCTCCTGTGCCGCCATGGCACCCGCGTAGATCTCTGCCTCTGCACTGGAAGTAGCCACAGACGACGACCGTGTAGACCTCCACGACACAGCACCAGCTCCCAGACTGAAGCAGTAACCCTGAGTCGAGCGCTGAGTCTCCACGTCGTCAGCGTAGGAAGAGTCACAGTGACCAGTCAACGCCACTGGCCGAGTCCCTCCAAGCACAAGCCCCATGCCTGATGTAGTCGCCAGGTACTTCGCCACCCTCACAGCAGCTGTCCAGTGGACAGGGCGGTGTCTCCCAGTCGCAAAAAAGCGAGAAAGGATGCTGAGGGGAAAGGCGAGGTCCGGTCGAGTACAAGTCATCAGGTACATGAGGCAGCCCACCAGCTCTGCGTAGGGTCCACTGGACTCAAAGGGCTCGTCAGGAAAGGGGCCCGTGAGTCTGTGGTCAACAGCAAGAGGAGTGGGCTGAGTGGTGGAGAACTGGAAGTCGAACCGCCGAAGGACCTGCTGCACCATGTGTGACTGCGTCAGTGTGATGGTGCGAGCGGCTCTGTCCCGGGTGATCTGCAAGCCAAGGTAACGCTGCAGCTCACCCAGGTCAGTGCACTTGTGTCTCTTCTGCAGTTCGGACTTCACCTGAGCCAGGGCTGCCCTGTCTGCTGTAGCAAACACCAAGTCGTCGACGTAGACAAGGATAAAGAAAGGAGTAGAACCCGCTCGAACAAACAGCGACGGGTCGGCGGAGGAAGGGCTGAACCCAAGGTCACGAAGCGTGGAGCGAAGAGTGTCGTGCCACTCACGGGGCGACTGGCGGAGACCGTAGACTGGTCGCCTCAGGCTCCACTGGGTCCCAGGTGGGAAGGTGTCAGTGAAGCCAGGAGGACGGCGCAGCCAGATCTCCTCGTGCAGTCGGCCCTGGAGGAACGCAGTGGAGAAGTCGAGGGAGTGCAGCTCGTAGTCTCGCTGCGCTGCTATGTGGAGTAACACCCGAAGAGTAGTCATCTTCGGGGTCGGGGCGAAGGTCTGGAAGAAGTCAACTCCCTCACGCTGACTGAAGCCCCTAGCCACGTAGCGCGCCTTGAACACCGGCGGTGCTCCAGGCGGCCGCTTCACCTTGAAGAGCCACATGCCATCGACTACGTTCGTCCTGGGAGGGGGAACTGCGTCGACGTAGGCGTCGGGGTCTCCCTCAGGGGAGAGCAGCATGGCACACACAGAGGGAGAAGCGGCTGCCCAGTACTCCAGCTCAGACTCTCTGTCCTCTAGGACGTCACAGCCAAGGGCAAACCCACCCCCGACGGACAGAGGACGGTAGGGAGGAGCTGGCACCACACGGGTGGCGTAGTCAAGGCGGCTGGCGGCAGCAAACTCAGCGACAGCGGCAGTAAGAGCAGAGACCGACGACGGAGGGAAACGAGAGTCGGTGACAAGAGTGGCGAGGACACGTGCGGCAACAGGACGAACAGTGCGGTAGTATTCAGTGATAGGAGTGGGGAGGGCTGGGAGAGAGGACGGAGGAGGAGACGGGAGAA